CAATGTATATTGGCACATAGCCTTCCTAATTTGAAAATTGTGCATGAGTTCGGACTCTATGTTTAAGGTAAACTCTAAAATGATAAGGGTGCGTAGAACTTCCCAATAAAGCTATAGACATCTTACTAAAATTTTAGCATATAGCATGGTATGTGTACAAAAGAATGAAATGACGATATTTTGCGCATAGATAGATCTACGTATAATTTGATTAAAACTTACGATAAACATAATCATGAAGAATACTCAAATGAATTGAAGAGATTATATGATTGAAAAAAGTATTAATCATAATTTCTAAGATCAATATGAGATATATGAAGGCTTATTTTGTAGATTCTTGTAATTTTTACTAATTGATTTTTCGAGAAATGATAAGGAATATTTTGATAATTGCAGCCCTTCTCACAAACACCGGGAAAAGCTAATTTTCGAATTTCGACCTGAAACTTTGTACAGAGACGAACATTAATGAGAATGTTTCAGCTCTTCTGATTTGCTCCTATTCTGAAACAAGAAAATCGAACCTAAAGGACGGGGGAGTCGAGCGTTACTGGACGTCCAGAAAGCTACTAGGAATATTTTCTTCTTTTTTTTTTTACAACTTTTCAAGAAATTTTGAAGTTCATCTTACTGAAAACAGTATTTTTTTATGTGTTGGTTGAATTTATTGACGTTGTTGAAACAAATGAAGATTCTATTATATAGGCAACTAGTTATATATAAACTTTTTTATATTTTAGAGTATCATTAGTGTTGAAATGATCTCTTTCTTTTTGTCACTATTTTCTGTTCATGAAAATCAAATATATTTAAATATCACAAACGTTTTCAACAAATCATATTATTTTTATTTTCATGTTTGATACAGATATTTAATAAAAGAAAGGAAGTAATGCTTGGAGGTTAGTTTTGAATTTCAACAAATTTTGATTCAAGCAAATCTCTGAGTTCATGTCAGATTAATTTTCCTGTTGGAAAACTATCATACGACAATCATTTTTCAACTAAGTTAGCGATCAGCTGACAAGTAGTAAAGTCATTCCAATGTAAATCTATTCTATAACATGACAAAAATTAAATAATCATTTAGGTTATGTCATCAATGATTTTAATTCTAGTAGAAAATATTCATCTACAAGAATCAATCAATATCATAATGAAACAAATTATTGTATGTACTAAATTAAATTTTTAAAATGAGAAATAATATATTTATATTTATGAATTTTTCAGATGGTGGTTTTTTAGATTTTAATTAACATTATTTCAATTATGTAATATAATTTCTAATCTCTAAAATTATTATTATTGTAAACCCTCGATAAGAAAACAAACGAAAAAAAAAACACAGTCATCTTTTTTTTTTGTTTCTCAATGCATTAAAAACAAATAAAAAATAGAAAAAGGAATCAATACATTGTTTAATGATGATGATGATGATGATGAACTTTCTATTAAAGGAAAAAAAGTTTTTCCAAATAATGGACATCGTAAGTCAATATATGTTCGACGATCAAATAAACGAGCATGAGTTATTCCATCTGACATAAGACATGTTGTTGATTGAAATAATGATGATGAATATTTTTTTTGATAATCAATAAATGAAAATATTCGTTGATAAATTCGAAGATGAGAACAAACACATTTTGGTGTATTAAATAAAGTAATAAATGTTGAATTAATAAATTTTTTTAAAATAATTTTTATTGAATCAATTGAAATAATTGAAAATTGTTCTGGATTTGGTAGAATTAATTGTAATGGAATATTTTTTATACGAATAAAAAAATTTTTTTTTGTATTATTCCATTGTTGTGATATATTAATCCATTGATTTATATTTATTAATTGTTTAAGTGTAATATCTCTATTTAATGAAATAAAATTAATTGTTTCAAGATTTGATAAATAAAAAAAAATTTCTAAATGTTCAATAGTTTTAATTGGATTATTTTGTAAAAATAATGAAATTAAATTATTTAATGATTGAAAATATAAACCATCAAGAATTTTTATATAATTATTTGATAGATCAAGTATTTGTAAATGATTTGAAAAATTTTTATTAAAATTTGGAATATTATTTAATCGTGTATTACTTAAATTTAAATGTATTAAATAAATTAAACATGATAAATCAATAAATTCTGAATTAAAATATGAACCACTTAAATCAAGTATTTGAATATTTGAATATTTACATAATTGAATTGGCCATTGATTAAATGAATTTTGTGCTATAACTTTTGTTATATTATCTATTATTTTTGAATTAAATATAGGTATATCAGATAATGTATGTGAACAATTGAATAATTTAAATGAATATTGTGTTAAATAACATTGACATGGTGTATTTGAAATGCATGAAGAAATATTATAAGAATTTATTAATGTAATTATAAGAAAAAGAAGTATAAAAAGTTGATAATGTACTTTAGACATTTTTATTCACGAAATAAAATGAACATATATATATATTGTTCATCTGTTGTTTTGTTTTTTTTTCAGACTGTTCAATTAATACATCTTCAGACATTATTTGTAATTTGATATTACACGTGTTTTTCATTTTCTATTCATTTAGTTGACTCGACGTGACAATCAACAAATAATAAAGCTATTGTATATAATGTAATCGTTCGTGTTGAAATTCAACTGTCTAGATTATTCTTGTAAGAATTGAATTGATAATTGAAACAGTGTGCATTCTATTTAGTATTTGATGTATATTCACTTTTAACTACAACTTATTCATGTATCAACCTTGAGCATTTTAGTCTTTACGAGAAAGAAGAGCTTGAATCACGAAATATAAATTTCTAATATTTGAATACTGTTTAGATTAACGTTGCGTTTCTTTTTTAATTCAAATAAGAATTTTTTTTTTTTCATCAATTAATAGAACGATAACAAGACTTACAAAGGAGACAACTATCGTTCTAGCTTCATATTTCTATATATAAGTGCATATACTTATTTCGTTGTTTATGTCTACAACGAACATTACACTGTTAATATGTTATGCGCAAACAAAGTCATTTAAGATTTAAACAAACGATTCAGTGTACTTTTTTTTTTTTGATTTTATGTAACTTAATCAACGAACATGTATACGTTTGAAGAATTTGTTGAACATACTTTTCTACCTGTTTATGTCTCTAACTTAAAAGGCACTACTGGTACAAAGTGTAGTTTCACTAAAATATTCGAGAATTTTGGAATTATAATTATAACAAAGCCACATGATACCAGAAAAATGGTATTAATATGAGAAGATAAATTTTTCTAGCATATAAGAGTTTGCCAAAGAGATTATTCTTATTTCTGGATATTTCTATGCGTGTATTTGACATCATTGCTTGATAATTGTTCTTTCTTATTTTCTTGTGAAATCAGAAGAAATTAATAGTTTTCTGCAGGCAGAAAATTTAATCAATCATCTTAATTCATATCAATCTCTTAATAATCTTGCTAGAAAAATCTTGTCTGTGTTCTATTACATCAATACCAGTTGAAGCATGTATTTTCTCACAATGATCTTTTAATTAGATCACATTGTTCAAATTTTTTTTTCACAAACTAATATTTGCATTTTGATGTCTTTGAAGTATAATAAGCGTTAAATATTTTTTGTCATAAAAACTAGGGACGAGATATCATGATATGAAAAACTTGCTGTTAATGTAAAATACAACCTACAAATTGTTTAAGTATAGGAATAGAAATTTGAAGCTCCCCCACACAGATGGAACAGTTATAACCGCAAGATCGAAGTCCACCGCGGAATTAGTATGATAATGGTTCTTTACTTTCCTTTTACACTCACGGCAACATATCGCGATTTTCATCATCGACATACATGAATAGTAAATAGAAATTCATAAATCGAAACATATATTGATTAATCTTCTTTTTGTACAATATCAGAAGCTCCATCGTATTTCACATTTTAGTCCTGCAGGGATTGTGCTAACAGCTGTTTTTTTTTAATATTATAACTGTACTTAATTATTTAATATTTGTAATTTCTGTGAAAAATTCGAGATTAAAATACTAGTAAAAATTAAATGTTGATGACAGATTCATATTTATTATAAGAATCGAGAAAAGAATTTTACTTCACCAGACAAGATTTTATCTATTTAAAATCTACTTTTTCCGATTAGAGTTTTACATTGAAACACATAGAAAGAAAACCTTTATTCTTAAGTCTTGAATTCTTTCGAAAATACATTCTACAACTATCTTTACTTGTTTTATAAAATATAACATTAAAATTTATTGTATTGTTAAATTCACCTTTTCGAAAAACTATTACTTAATATCAATACGAACTTCTCATATATATATATTCGTACCGGCTCATAGCAATTTTTGTGAGATATTTTGTTTTTTTGTCCAATATTTAGATCAGAGGACATACAGAAAAGAAAAAGAGAAATGGTGATTACATTTCTATGTCATTGAATAATATAACTAGAATATCGAACTATATGTATAGATGCAATGGAGATTGATCGAGTCGATGTACAATGTTAGTAGATTTCTTTCAATATCAAAATGATTGATTTATCCGAGAACGATGTTTGTGTGATGCAAAAAAAAAAGAGAAATCTTCTCGCTCTCTTGCCTGTTTTATCATCATATAAACTTGACATAGTTTCATGACGAATAACACATTTGCTTTTTTTCTTTTTTAGATAACAAAAAAGAATTGTAATGAATTATTTCTTTTTAATAAAATATGTATAGTGATCAATATAATTTATCAACAGTATGTAATTTTGATTAAATTTTATTTTTCATTTTTCTTTTTTGTTTGATTACAATAGACATTTGATAATAGTCATATGAGTGAATCATCTTTTCGTTTTAATGATTCTTATTACCTTGATTCATTACCTTATTCATCATATAATACAAATTCTTATCCATTTCGTCAACAAACAACACATTCTCATTTAACATCATCATCATCATCAAATGTTTATTTATCATCTTATCAACATCCATTTTCATCATCGACATCTCAACTTACTCATACAGATGTAATATCCTATCCAAATTATGATACAACTTATTTAAATGTTGCAGTAGCAGCTGCTTATCAAAATCAATATCAAAATCATAATAATAATAATAATAATACAGTTAATGATTCAATTGATATTAATTTTTCCAGACATATAGGTGAATTGTATGGAAATAGTAATGAACAAGAAATTGAAATAAATCATCCTCAACAAAAATCATCCATATCAATAGTTCAATCAAGTAAAAAGAGAAAATTTCAAGATGAAACAATGAGTAAGAATATTTGTTCTTTTTTTTCTCTGAAATATCATTCACATTCTTTTCATTAAAGATTATTTCAATTGATAGAGATTCATATTTTTTTTTCTTTCTTTATATAGAATCACAATATGAATCTGAACTTTGTCGAGTATGTGATGATATTAGTTCGGGATATCATTTTGGTGTATTTACATGTGAAGCATGTAAAGGATTTTTTCGTCGTTATTCAAAAAAATCAACTATTCTTGAACCATGTCCTATAAGATGTTGTATAAATAAAAATAATCGTAATAATTGTGCAGCATGTCGTTTTGATAAATGTAAATGTGTTGGTAAGAAAAAAAAATTAATTAATATATATATATATATAAATTAATAATTATTTTTTAATTTTAAAGGTATGGCTTTAGATAAGATTCGTTTTGGTAAACCACCAAAAATTTTTCGTTCATCATCATTAATATCAAGTGTTAAACTTGAACCAAATTATAATGATTTTCAATTAATGTTAAAATTACTTGAATGTTATCAATCATTTGAAGAATATGATCAACAATCAACAACAAATACTCATTCATCAATTATATTTCAATTTTGTCATCGTTTAGCTGATATTGTTATGAATGAAAATGAACGTATACCAGAAACATTTCTTGCACGTTTAAAACGACATGAATCAACTATAAAATTTTTAATAACAGGTGAAAATGATCGAAATTTATCATCATGGTGTAAAGAACCACAAGCATGGATATTTGCACATAATGAACGATGGCGTCTTATTATGATTTTACTTATATTAGCTTTTGATGATGAACAAATTGGTGGTGGATCATTAATTTTTTTATCATCAAATTCAGATACAAATGAAAATATATTTCATTTATCAAATGATACAGTTATTGAAAGAATATTACGTTTATTTGAACTTGAATGTGATCAAGAAAAAGAAGCACGAACTTATACAGAAGGATCAAATATATATACTCATAATTTAACAAATGAAAAAAATATTAAATATATGAAAGCACAATTTGTTTTACGTTTTATTGATATGATGGCAAATGATATGATATCAAATAGAATTTGTTCATCAACAATAAATAATGATTTATTAAATTCATATTTAATTTCAGAAGATAATATTTATAGAAATACAAATGAATTAATTTATTTACCTTGTAATGATGAAATACAAATACAAACAACATGAATTAATCAATCAAATAATAATTCTAGTGAAGTTCTTTAATAATTTTTTTTTCTTTCTTTCTTTCTTTCTTTTTGTTTTATTTTAATCATTTAAATAAAATTTAGAATTATTCTAATATTATTAATAACTACTTTAGTTTTTCGATTTTTCGTAATTCTTTTTTTTTTTGATAACTTTAATTCAATTATAGAGGGTATCAATGATCTTCATCCACACCCTTTCCCTAGCTCCGTAAATAATCTTGTGCTTTTGTACCATAATATAGAGCTAATACAATTAAACGTCTGATCTTTTATAAGATTAGAGTTTCAACAGTAATCATAAGTTTCTAGAGTAATTATGATTTTAGGATTCTACATAATTTTAATTTGGTTTCACAAGATTTTGAGCATGGAGAGCCTATGATTTCTCATAGACTTATAAATCCACAATTTGTTTGTTATCTACTTGATAAATATTCATGTGATAAAAATCGATGATTTGTTAGAGCGATTAATCGTGAGATTATGTCGTGATTAAATCACTTTTAAAAAGAAAGTGACTTTTCCCACTTTTATAGAAAATCGCGATTTTTCATGTGATATTTACGATGAGCGAACTTAGTCTTAATTCTCCGCTAAAAGACTACGAATATGTCTTAACGAGTTATATGACTGTCTATCATCATCGTATCTATAAAAGTTTCTCATAAGTAAGGAGACAGATGATTTTGTCTTCCCTCATCTGTCGTATATAATAAAAAAAACAAAAGTTTTTCTTTATACAATTATACTTATTGTTCATTTTAATCTTGAGATCGATCTAAATAACAAAAAACAATGTTTTTTTTCTAAATAAATACATACTGTTCATTGTGTTATCGAGATTAACCTAAGTAAAAGAAAAAACATTTATAAACAAATAAATACTAACTATTGAGGTTTGTTGCAAAGTTACCAATGATTTACACCTGCCCAAATAATCATCGATTAATTGTGATTTATCAAAAATCGTTGTTCAATCATCAAGACTGAGCCGATTTTGACAACATGTGTATATACAGAGATATCATATAAGGATGTTATGATATTAAAAGCATAGAAGAAAGAGAGATCACTTCATGACTTAAGAAAGATAAAAGATTGTAGAAATTATAATTTCGAATAAAAGTTCAGCCCATATATATATACAAATCCGTAACCAAAAGATTGAAAAAAAATATAAAATTTCTATTTATAAAAGAAAAAATGAAATAAAAAACGATTGTTTTTTATCATAATTGAATTTTTTGCATCAAAAGAACTAATAAGTTTTCTTTAATAGTTAACATGTGTGCTCATAAAATCAGCGAAAGAAACAACTTAATATTAGTTGTTTGATGTTAATGCTTTTCTGGTTTTGCAATATAATTTAGATGTAAGTCAGATTACTAAGTCAAATATATTATTAATAAATCAAACATTAAGTTTTGAATCGTATCGTGATAACATTCGAGTTTTTGCCAATATTACTTTATAGAGAATTTCATACGTTTTATTTGAATAGGAGGATAAGTTATTTTCTTCTTTCATTAAAGAACTTTTTTAAGTCGACAAATGTTTGAGTTAAATCGTAAATTATCATGAAAAATTTGTTTGTTATAAATTATAAAATGAAGCAATTGTCATTTCCATATCATTAATTCGCATTCTTAAGAATAAATCATGTAATAAAAATAGTGGTTGATGTTGACTAGATGATATTTTTCTTTTCTCAATGAAAAATGTACCTTTTTTCTCATCTTTGTTATGTTGTGCAGAGAGTAAATAAGAATCAAATTCTGTTTCCCTAGTGATCCCTTAAAAAAATAGAGCAACAAAGTAAATAAAATTGATGATTTGCACATAGGTTGGAAGAAAAAAAAAGTAAAATTTGTTTTATAACGGTAGTAAACAACAAACAGGCAATTGTTCTTTCTTTTTCGAAGAACCGCATAGGTGCTCTTTGATACAATATTATTTGGGTATTTTCATCGGTAATACATTAAAAAAATACGCCACTACATGTGCTGTACTTTGTGTAATATGAAGTTTCTCTCCATGTATTAGAGGAAATGCACATTGAAGATAATCTGACTCAGTTATAGTATTTACTGTTTTTATACTTTTTCATGAGAAAATGAGTAATGACTGTTCTTAAGTTTACTTGAATTTATTATTATTTTTATTTATTCCTCATGCATGAGACTGTGAGATTTAAACTTGAACGTCAAATGATCAAGAACAAAACCGATGTTTGAAAATATAAGTGTAATATAATAATTGATGTTTCCTATAAGTATCCAACGTGCGACATAAAACCGTAAATAAATAACAAACAAATAGTTTGTGACAGAATTTGAATGATATATTTCAATTCAATCTATGTCTGAATTTGGTTCAATACTTAATAGTTTATTTTTCGAACAGTTCAACAACGATAATTATTAGAAAGCATTATTTGATAGCAATCGGACATAGGTTAAATTATTTCACTGTTAAATTAATTTGATAAGAATGATTTATTATTTATATAATGCAAACTTAGTCCTTATAAAAACATGATCGAACATTCAGATGTTTTTATTAGTCAAATAAACGTTTTTTTTTCTCTTTTTCCATTACCTTTTACAGCTGGTTACCTTTTTTCTTTTTCATGTTGCTATGTTGGCTGCATAAGAACATCAACAGTTACAATGCAGAGAGTGAAATGTCAACATTCCAAGTGAGTTTTACAATCTATGAAAATAAGATGAAAAAAGAGAACGAAAAAATTTATCCATACGTAAATTCTATTACCTTCTTTTTGATGAAATAGAACAACTGAAAGCTGCAACAAAAATATTAACAGTGAGTAGTGTGTCAATCTTATTTTCTTCGAGTAGCATTTTTGAACGAAACTTTTCGTTTAACTAACAATTCATTATTTTTTTATGAAAATATTTTCATCGTATGTTCATTTCGAGTTATTTAACAATTGCGCAAACAAGAGAGAAAAAAAATTAAAACAGAACTTTATACAGCTTGTTCGAAACAACTGTAAAATTGAATGTTTTTCGAATATTTTAAAACGAATCTTATAAAAATACCATTCAAATCATTCAATGTATGATATTAAAAAGAAGTTTGTAGGAGAAAAAAGACTTCATTTTCGTAATAGATATCATTTCATGTGTACCTATTATACCCTGCTTCGAAAGAATTTAATTAAGGATGTGGGTATGGTTGTTGATCCATATATTAGTCATACCCACACTCCATATCCATATCCACACTTATACCCACACTCATCCACACCCTGTTTGCGCGGACAAATCTTACTCAATAACAACTCAATATAGAAGCGATAATTTTTTTTGTTGCATAGAGAACAGTTAGGGCTAGGTCGTGACAGAGCCCGATTATTGAATTTCTCTATTGGCGAATAAAAAACTTACATATGTTATTTTTATCAGCGATTTTTTGGCCATGAATTTGAGAATTTTTTTAAAAAAGATTTTTTAAACAACAAACAAAGGGAATTTCAAAAATCGGGCTCTATAAAGACCTAGCGCTAAGGGTACTCTACAATTTAAAAACCATCCCGGCATATTGGCTCTATCCTGATTGTGAAAACCTCGCCCTCGTACAGAATACTTTTGACCAATAAATTGCTTATAACTCGTGAATAACTTGCAGATTTGAGGGGATATTTTAACCATAATCTACTCTAAGAAGGACTAATATTCTCTGAAATTTTAGTTGAATTCTATGCAGAAATTAAAAAGTTTATTTCTAAGGGGACCTTCTTAAGTCTAAAACAAAAATTAGACATTGATATAGTGATCAAGAGTAAGTTTGACAATTAAAAAACAAACGTTTGTTTGTTCTTTCTTCTATTCTATTATTAATCGCAATAAGAGTTTGCATCCAATCATCGGCTTTCAGTGCTCAGAAAATAAAACTTGGTGATACAGAAACATCTATCATAAAACATGTTTATTAATTATTTACATACATTGTCTATAAATAAGAATTTATGCTGTAAAAATTTATCATGCAGAAGCTTCGAGTATATATTTCAACCCCGCCTCGTCCCGCCCTGGGGACTCGCTACGATTCCCCGCCTAGCTTCGGTCTCTGGTCTGCATCCCTCCCAGGTGTTTTTTTGGCCACAGAGAGTGCACAAGCATCCTTTGCATCCTCCTGGCGACGGTTCTGATTATAGGTAGAGCAGTATTTACTGGTAGACCGATTAAATCTGTGTATCGATCGGCTCACTTTAATTTGACTTTTTCAAATCAGTACCGATCGTTAAAAAACTAGACTCATTTCATCTATGGACTGTAGCATTAATTCCGCTCTACGCCAGATATTGATGAGATCGATAATAACAGCAGAACCTCATCGACTGATACACTCCGCTTGAGCTCATATTTTGCTTGTAATTAGAACTCATAGTGTAAATAAAATCTCTAAAATGATTCTTTCCATTAAGCCTTTATTCTCGAGTTATGATCATTTTACTGAATTTTTAACCTATCACGGAGTATTACGAACAAAATCAAGTCAAGAAATTTTAATCTCAAATTTCGCCCGAAAAAAGGTCTCACGGTCCCTCTTATAATATCCTGGCAGTTTCAACCAAAATGGATGCTCTATTATCGAGACAACAAGTGTTCAGAAAAAGGTCTTTTCTCATGAAAGATTCGAGCAAATCCGATTTGTTTGGCGTTTAAAATCTTGAAAAAAAACCATCCATTTTGGCTGAAATTTTCTGGATATTATAAAGACCATGAGAGCTATTCTTAGACGAAATTTGAGAGTGAAGTTCCTTCGTTTGGTTTTGCTTGTAATACCATGCGATAGGCTGGAAACTCAGTAAAATGATTATAACTTGAGAACGAAGACTTAATGGGAAGAATCCTTTTAGGGTTTTTATCTACATTATAAGCCCTACCTCAGAGCAAAATATGAGCTTAAGCAGAGTGTATCAGTTGGTGAGATTCCCTCGTAAGATTAAAAGAATTTGTGTCAGTTAATTCCATGGATAAGACAGAGCAGAACAGGGAAAAAACCTTGATGAATTATTTTTTTGTTGAGACCTATGGTACGTGAATCTTTCTTCTTAAAAAGATTTTCTGAAGACAGAATCTCGCTGACATTACATCAATTAGAATAAAATCTGCAATGCGAAAATGTCTTAAACTAATTCAACTATATAAAAGTTTGAATTAACTAAAGGGTATTAGTCAAAAATGAGTCTAATGTTATTTTTTTAAGGCATTCTTCATTTTATTTTTAGAATATAGATTATTTCTCTATTATTCACAAAACATTTTATATTCAAACATGGCTACAGGTGTAGATGCTACTGCACAACAATTTGCACGAGTTTCTGACATTGCAAAAGAACCACAAAAAATGCTGATGCCAATTCGGGGATATGAAAAAATGCCGTTAGTGTCATTGGAAGAGGCCGTTACACCGCTTGTCTCGATATTGCCCGAAGTTCAAGATTATGCGTATGTTGCCAAACAAAGATGTGAACCTGTACCTGCTGATGGTTTAACACAAGATCAATCAGCTTCAATTATACTATATACAATGGAATGGGAACCGCATGAAGAATGTTTATATTTTGCTTTAAACGCAACACTTCGTGCTGAAGACAGACGAAAACTAAAACCATGGTTTTCGTATTTAAAACTTATTCTCACAGCACTCAAACAATTACGCTCTACGAGACATTTTGTTTATCGTGGAGTGAAAATGAATTTAATTAAACAATATCCATTAGGAAAAACCTTTGTTTGGTGGGGATTTTCTTCATGTGCTTCAAAAATGGGTGTGCTCGAAAATGAACAATTTTTAGGTAAAACTGGTGACCGAACAATGTTTACCATTGATTGTGAAAGTGGTAAGGATATTAGTCGCCATTCTTATTACCAATCGGAAGACGAAATCCTTCTTCTTCCTGCCCGGCAATTTGAAGTAATATCCTGTTTGCAGCCAGCACCGGGCCTTAATATGATTCAACTCAAGGAAACTCAATCTCCAATTTCTCTTTTGCAACCAGTTACAAATGATTCTAATCCAAAGGCACCATCGCAAGGTAAGAAAAAAATTTGATATTATGTTCTACATCATAAATTTTAAAACTCTAGAAACTGGATGAAAAACTATTGATAAAATACTCAAGCTATGAACGTCATTTTTTGAGAAAAAATTTTTGGACAAAGTTCGTTGTAAAATGTTATATAAATAAGGAACTATTTGACGTGGTCAACTGAAATTTTTTCAGCTAGAATTTTGCCATATAAATTTGGACAAGATTGTTAAATTTCCGCAATTATCGAATTTCTTTGAGAATTACAACAACATTAATTATTGCTAGGTATTTTATGCAGGAGCTAAAATATTTTAAAAAATGAAAATGATGAAACGAACATAAAGATTGGTGTATTTCAAGTTTGCTTAATTAAGATCTCCATTCTCATCAATAAAATTATCATACATCAGTTTTTATGTGCATTTCATCATTCTAGATGTCCTTATTTTCGCGCTTTCAAGATAAAAATCATGATATTCATGAAAAATTTTTGGTTTTTCATCTTCATGAGTATCGTTGAATTCCTATCGGACTCACACAATATAAACAACAATTAGAATTATAATAAATCATTTTTATTCTAACTAATATAATATCAAATTCAGAAATAGTTGATAGTCGCATATGTCTTTTACATACGTACAAGCTTTTCTGTTCTGTTTTTTCTCTACTTTACCAGTTTGCGCTTCTACGTTGCCTCATCATTTACTCTACCTGATTTTGAATCTCTATTCATGAACAAGGATATGGTCCTTCTTGTTTTCTCTATTGTTTGCTGCCTCGACAATTGATAGTCTTGAAATGGAAAATGGTAGAGAAGACACTAATTCGAATGCATTCATCTTTAGGATATCTGAAAGGAAAGTCATGCTATTATTAGTGAAAAAAAAACTGGCGCATGTCTATACATGTGTCAATTTCAGTAGCAACCTAGAAAATGCATGCCCCAATTCACTTTTATCGTCGTCTCTGGAAAATCAAGTTAAATTAACTGAATAAAATAGTTCGTGTATATTTTACACAGGTTCAGTCTTAAATGCAGCAGTATGTTCAATAATCATCACCCGAATTTGCAAGACAGTTGTAAAAGAAAAGCAATATAATCCGATCAAAAGTCGAGAAAAATGAAGAAAATTGTGATCATTATATTGTTGAATAAATAAATAATACAATTTCGAATTAGCCAAGTGATTGTAGACCTATTTTTAACTATTCCTTCGTTGCTCTATGTAGTTAAGCAGAAATATTCTTATTAAAATGATTGTTTTGCATAGGAAATTCCATAAAAGTCAGTACATCCATTTATAATTGTCAGTAAAGTGCATTTCTATAGTTAATTTTTCAAGAATTCAACATGTTTTTGAAAACTTACATTACCAAAGAAGTTAAAAACATAAACTAGTCAATAGCGTCTTCGAATCGATTATATTATGCAGTTTTTGGAACCATCATTTTTTACATTTTTCTGAAAGTTTTCAAGCTAAACTGGTTCCACACAACATTTTCAATATAGCAACTTGTCAGAATTCCAAAATACATCATGTAGAAATGGATAGTATGTATAAAGCATGCATTAGTAGTCTTGATGATAGTAAAGAGTAGAAAAGTGTCCAGACTGACGGCATTCTCAACTATAATATTGGTTAGGGATGAGAATACGAATGATAACGAATTAAATATCTTGAAATACTCACACTCGCTATCATAGTCACCCACAGTTTGAAATCAGATTTTATGATACAATACCAAACTCAAAGAAACTTTCTAAGAATCAATTGAATACTCTAAAGATCCCACATGATGCCAGTTTCCAGTGAGGCTATTAAAAGAAAACTGCAAGCATTTCAACTTGCATTAAAAAACTTCTATCAATTGCTAAATTGATAGAAGTGATTTTGCAAAGAATATTGTTGTTGGCAATAATATGAGCAAAACTTACTCGAAAATAATGATAAATGAAAGAAAGCGATTGGAATAATGAATTGAGAATGGAGAATAGTTATTTTTTATCTGTATTCGTTGCTTGATGGTATGAGAATCATTTTGCATACCGATTTGATAATTGATAGAATATGTATCGAATTCGAACGATCAAGAAACAAAGTGAAATATTTGATAGAAAAGTATGGAACAAAATGTTGTAAAAGTAAACTTTTTCTGTTTGGCTGGTTTTTCGTGTATTTAAAATAGACGATCTTTCTGATCATTTAGTGGAATATGTGTGAAAAACTCTCACTACATATTCTTCTTTCTAAAATTATTATCTAATAGATATTGGCATTAAAACACAATCTGAAACAATTGTTGCTTCAGTTCAACCAAAATTGGACAGCGTCAAAAGTGACACAAGTGCTTCAACTGTACCAAAACCAATGCCAATGAACAAAACTATAACACATGATGCAACATCAGGTATGTTAATAAAAACAAACCAGTATCAAAACAATACTCGACAGTTGATGTTCACAGTAGTTTTTACTTAACCAATCGAATGAATGACTAACGAAAAGTTTTAAAATGATACTAAATAGATAAGTCTGTATGTAGTGTTTCTCTGTTGGCAATCGATTGTTGAATAATGCTTCGATTATAAACTCTCGTTAACACTGTAAATTTGATTAAAATTCATTCATTCGTCCTATCTATCGATGATTTCATCGTCCTATCTAAGATCACATCTGACTCTGTTTCTATTGATAGAAATCTTGACCGTATAAAGTTTTTCATAGTTGTATAGTAAACTTTGCTAGTCGATTCTGTTTCGTATGAAAATTGCATGATCTCTTACGATACGAGTGTCAAAATTTTTATCTCTTCTTATTCTTTCAATCAATATTTTGTATTAAAAAACAAATAGACTTTTTTCTTCGATTAATTTTGATATAATTTATTAATTCTATCAGAAAATAAATCAGTTTATATTTGAATTTGCTCATTTATTTTTCCTTTTTAAAATGAAACGCATGAAACTTTTGTAACCATAATCGAACGTTAAATTTCATAAAGATGAATTTATTTTTTTTTATTGTACCATACGAGGCTAAACGATGATTTTCTCATCGAAGTTAATACCCGAGCAACGATTACATTGTAAAAACTGCGTTACTTTCAGGCTCTTGTCTCATATCCATTTCTATCATCTGTTTTCTATTGTGTAAACTATTTCATTGCAATATTCACGGCATTGGCTGACATGATATTTTCAAGCAACTGATTTCAGATGAATAGAAACCTCACACTATCTGAATCTAAAATCTAGTAGTTACATAATTGAACCATTCATGCATGTATGCATGCCTGTATCTTA